ATTTTTATGTCATTAATTTTATTCAATTGTTTGTGAAATTGGATAAACAAGGAATGTAAATCAGGAGGAACTGTCTCGTCCCAATCTAAATGTTGTTTCCATAATTCTTGCAATATCAACTTGGCACGCACAATAATAGGACCAAACAAACCTAGAGGGTCGAATATTTGTGACACGACTGCTAGTATAAAACGCTTAGTAATTCTAGGACTCTCAACAGAAATATTTACAGAATATTTTAGCTCATCCTGATTCGGGTCCCAACATATACCCAAAGTTTTTACTACACTCTTATCATCAGCAATAAAAAATTGTGGAAGATCCTGAGAATTTTCACTCAAGTTCAAAATTGATTTATTATTTGAATTCCACTTCCTCAAAAGAAACCCGGCCTTCGCCAGTATGTCAGATACTTCGGTTCTCAGTCGAATAGCATCCGCCACACTTGCAGTACCAAAAATTAGGTCATCCACATAAAAGTCGCGCAGAATAATACGACACGCTTCCGGATACTCAGTTAAGTTGTTGTAAGCTACCTGATGCAAAGACCGAATGGCCAGAAATGGCGCAGACGCTGTGCCGTAAGTGACGGTGTTTAACTTATATGTCTTTAATTCATCTTCAGTATTGGACCGCCAAACAATACGTTGTAAATCCCTATCAGATTCGGTAATGTTGACCATACGGTACATTTTTTCGATATCACCGGTTATTACATAATTATAAGTTCTAAAACGCATTACTATTGAAAATAGATCGTCCTGTATGGTAGGACCTATCTTCAGAACATCGTTAAGCGAAACATCACTTGAGCTTTTCCCGGACGCGTCAAACACTACTCGTATTTTAGTCGTGGAGCTACTATGCTTGACTACACAGTGGTGTGGCATATAGTAAATAGATTTATTAGATTGATCATCCAATTCGTTAACCAAAGACATATGCCCTAACGAAATATATTCATTCATGAAATCGCAATAACCTTTCTTTAAATCTGAATCTTTATTTAGACGCTTTTCAATTGAATAAAAACGTTTTACAGCGATTTCCCTAGATTCGCCTAGCTCACACAAATTTTCTTTAGTCGGTAAACTAACTACAAATCGGCCTGTAGAATCACGTGTAGTAGTTTTGATAAAATATTCTTCGCACTCTTGCTCTTCACGCGAAAATTTGATATTAGAATTGACAGAACATTCTTCCAGTTTCCAAAATTTTTCTAATTGTGTTTCAATAGTTGAATTTTTATTGACACTAAAATTACAGTTTACTTTATTTTGCGCTTGATTCTTAATATTTAAAGGTCCGGAAATAATCCAACCAAGATGCGTTTTTTGAAGTGAAGGTAAATTGTCACCAAGTTTAATCTGTCCAACACACAACAAAGAATAGAAAATACCTGCACCTAATAGGCAATGTATCGGTTTTGATCGATTGAATTCTTCATCAGCCAGTTTAATATTACTGGGAATATTGATGATATTTTGGTTAAAAGAAACGTTTGGTAAGTTTTCGGTTATTTTGTCAATAACTAGAAAATTGAGTTTAACATTGAATGAATTATGAACAGATTTGATATAAGTAGTAACAGAATGGCTAATTTTGATGAGATTTTGACTAATTCCACTGACAGGTAAATCAATTTTACTCATATTAAGATTTAATGTTCTTACCAAATCATAACTTATGTAATTTGCTTGTGAACCTGAATCTAAAAGAACGCGGCATAAGAAAGGCTTATCGTTTTTATCATAAAAATAAACGTTCGCAGTTGATAGCAAAACATGTGAAAACTGTGCTTCATTTGAGAAAGCGGAAATAATTGAATCCAAACTCGGCTCGTTATTTTCTTGATTGTTAATAATATTTTCAATTGACACATTGGTATTAACTGATGTGGCTGAGGGCTCTGCCTCAATTATTTTCCTTTCAAAGTGCAGTAATGTATGATGTTTGTTGTTAAACCTTTTACAACCACTAGACTGGCAGTCCTTAGTTGCATGACTCGACCGTAAACAATTAGTACACAAATGCATCTTTTTTGTCTCGGATAATCGTGAATTTATAGACAAATTAAGAAATTTTTCACATAAATTTAACCAATGTGTCCCCTTACAAAAAAAGCATTTGGGAACCAAGGGAGAAACGTGTGAATGAACTCGATTTGATATTTTAGAATTTGTGGGTTTAGCATTGAAATCCAAAGCTTCCAATGTGTGACACTTTTTATTTAAAAACTCAATAAATTGTTTAAATGTTGGCAATTGTGAACCTGTGATTGAGCTTTCCCACTCAAGACGAGTTGATTGGTCGAGTTTTGTGTTTGTCAAATAAATTAAAATAGAGTCCCATGAATCTATGGGTTGCCCTAAAGCTTCTAGGCAACGTAAGTTCTTTTGCAATGTATCTACAATTTGACGTAAACCATCCTTAGATTCTCGACTCAAAGGATCTAGTTCAAAAATTGCCTTTATATGACTATTTATAATAACTCGATGATTTTCAAATCTTTCGCAAAGTAATTGCCATGCAATAAAATAGTTTTGATCACTTATTTGTATGGATTGTATAGTTTCAAGAGCCTCACCCTTAAGGGATGAGAGCAAATACGAGAATTTTTGTGTAGGATTGAGTGTCTGGTTGTCATGTATAATGCTTTTAAAAATGTCATGAAATTGTAGAAATTTGTCAAATGAACCATCAAATTCTGGGAGATTTATTGAAGGCAATCGTATGCTTTGCAAATTAGAACTAGGAACTGATCCGCTCTGCAAACTAGATTGATTTAAAACATTTCTTGAAGGATCTTGCTCCAATAAAGACCTAGCTCGGGCGATCGCTTTACACAACTTGGATTCAAAATCATCTCGCTCAGCACTAAAATCTATATCATCGGTATCTGAGCAGATTAATTCTAACTGTAAGTGATAATTCTCAAATTCTTTTAATGAATTTAATTCAATTTTTTCAAGACGAGTAGATAAAACTTTATAATCTGGATTTGCATCGAAAGTGTCCAAATAGTTTGAAAATCTTGATAACTGACCCTTAATGTTTCCAATTTTGATGTTTAATAGTTTTCTTTGTTCAGCACTCATGATTCAATTATTTTTTAAATAATTGGTAAGAAGAAAAGGTTAAAATTAATGTTCATATAAAATCGATAAGATAGCAACTTTAAAGCAAAAGTTAGAATAGAAAAGACTCAGCAAAATCGTAGAATTGATGTAAAAAGATCGTAGCAATGTAAAATTTGTGTAAAATCTTAGCTTAAATAGAGATGACTCGGCAAAATTAATGAAATTAGGGAAAAAAAAATTGATGAAATACAGTATAACTTGGTAATAGTTAACTATCAATAGAGAATAGTCAATATGAAATAGTAAAATTGGGGAAAAAACAATTGGTAGGTATTGTAATAATATGATAAAATTGATAGCAAAACTCTTAGATACCTACCTGTATTTTCGTTCTCGATATTAAATAGCAAAAAACTAGTTAGGTACCATTAACCATTTAGATGGACTACAAGTAGACCCTCGTCAAGTCTTTTTCTCGATAACCTAATTGTTGAAAATAAACAATTTTTGCAGTTTACCCAGGTAGTTCCTAAACAAATAAAATGAAATGCTTTTGGAAAAAAATCAAACTCGATATTGTAATTATCAAAATAAGTCAAAGGAAAGGTTTAAATTGGGCAACAGAAAAAACTCACCGGGCAAAACAAAGCAGGCAAAAATGGATTCAGCTTGATGCTCCAACAGCCCAATTCGCTGATAATCCTCGCTCGAATGGACCAATGTATAGGATTAAAATTATCCCTGAAATTTCTCTTTTCGTTTAGTTAACTTTATTTATACAAAAATGCCAAAAAGAACAGCAAAGCGTGGCAAAGCAAGAAATACAAAACAAAATTGTGGGAATGACGCTGCAACTTGTTGCCAGTGTGTGTCAGCTGTCATCTTTCGTTCTTCGGTTTCGGCGTTGACGCCATGTCAAGCACTGGTTCCAGTTCAGGTAGAGTCCGAACGCTCCGAACAGTCAATTAGAGTCCGAACAGTGAGAGTTAATTAACACAAAATTAATATTATACACCTAACTATAATAGAAACCACTCTCTATGTATCTTTCAAAAATAAACTAAAATTTACACTGTATTCTTTCTAACATTTTATTGTGTAATTTTTCTTTTATTTCAGGAATTCCTGGTATTGTTGGGATAATTGATGGCACACACATTAACATCAGAGCACCTCCTCATAACGCAGTTGACTATTATAATAGGAACAACCCTAATAACACAGATACGTATTATAAACGTTTTCAAAACGTCTACTTAGGTTTTAGTAAACGTACTTAAAACGTCCTGAACGTTCACGAACGTTTTCTAAACGTTCTGGGAAAGTTTTGTGTCGGCAAAAAAAATGTTTCCTAAACGTTTTTTGGGACATACTTAGAACGTTTTTTTATGTATATAAAACGTTTTAAAAACCTTACTTTTTTAGTTTTATCAGACGTTTGCTAAACGTTAATTGGGACATACAAAAAACGTTTTTGTATGTGTATAAAACGTTTTAAAAACGCTTTTATTTCAGTTTTTCCATACGTTTGCTAATCGTTGATTGGACATACAAAAAACGTTTTTTTTGTGTATTTAAAACGTTTTAAAAACCTCTTTTCTTCAGCTCTCTTAGGACCGGTTTATCAGTGGAGGGATATTTAGTTTAGCTGTCGGTTACCTAATAATTATCATTAGTTAACCAACAGCTAAACTAAATAACCGACCACTGTTAAATTGGTCCTTATGTATGCTAAATGTTATTTATATGAATATCGTACAAATTGAACACAGGCATAGTTTATCTAACTGTACCTATGTGGATACATATAAAAAAAAAACAATTTGGAAGTTAAGAAAATATAATTACATATATATAATTTCATTAGATCTTGACAAAAGTATATACAAAAAAACTAAATACAAATTCATTTCGTTTGATTTATAAAAGGAACTAAAAACTGAGATTCTACAGAAAATTCAATAATATAGATGCACTAAAATATGCGTACCTATGTACCTACATATAGAATAAACAAATTGAAGTACATAATATAAATAGAAAAATATAAGTAAAGTACAGTACCTATATATGTAGTATGTACAGGAAAACTAAATCTTAATCTTCATTTTATTTGGTTTAGAAGGAACTGAAAACTATAATTCTGATATAAATGATATGACGTAAAAAAAATTATTTATTTTTTTCGCTGTGTTCGAGTCTAGCTTTACCACGTTTCAGCCAAGATCCTATGGCAGATTCTGTTTCTTTTTTGTCTTTAATGAATGGCATCTTATCTGCTGCTTCTGAAAGTTAATCGATATGTAATTATTTATATAATCATATACGCTTCAAATCATTTTATTTTAATTCTAAAACGTACTGCAATAAACTGCTAATTAAAAAATTCCATCAAACTTACCTACAATTGCCTTGGATAGGCAGATAACACTAAAATTTTCCTTTTCTTTTCTTCCAATGAAACTAAACTTCATTGCTAATTCGTTTGAAATTATAGGTGCCAAACACCTTCTTATAAAATCTCCAGTTGTGGAGCCACCCATCTTTGAGAACATCCGGACCTTAAAGTTTGTTTTTTCAATTTAAAATAAATACAAACAAATTAAAAACTCTTATTACCAGGACAGTATATTTTTCTTCATTTTTAAAAAACTCTTCAAATATGGATAGCTCCTCCATTGTAGTCATTGGAAAATCAATGCCAACCTGATTTAACAGGTTTCCAGGAATTGGATTTACAGGTTCTGAAGTCTGTAATTTTTCAACTTTAGCTAAAATATCACAACATATATCTTTAATAACAAAGAGAGTCGTCTTGTTATCTTTGTTCTTGGAATTTTTTGTGCAGCAATGTGTGCACAAATTGTTACAACTTGAGTTCGAAGACGATGTTGCACTAGGTTGACCTCGAGGTTGGCCTATAATGAAAAAATAAAAATAAAGAAAATATATCCATAGACTAATTTGTGGAAATTACTATTTTCCTTTGTGCTTAAAACTTACTTTCACTAATTTCAATGGTTACATTGGCGTCTACCAAAGTCAAAGTGTTCGAAGTTGGTCTTGAAACCTCCAAAGAAAGCCGTGACTTTTTTTTTGGAGGAGTTGGTAGCTTCTTCCGAAATTGTGATAAAACCCTATTGTCTTCTGACTCGGATTCAGAGGAGCTCATAAACTTTTTTTTCCTTTGCCTCTTATTTTTGCCATCATCTGAATTTAGATCACTGGTGACTTCTGCCTTTCGAGCTTTAGACCTAGCAGTCGAATAATCACCTAAAATGAATTATAAAAAAATATTTAAATTAAAAGGGGAATATGCCCAAATTTTGCTTTAGAAAAAAAACCTAAACAAAACGCATGCACCACTTAGCTCTTAGAAAAACTTTGTCACTTACGAAATCTTGCATCTTTGAATAAAGTGATTTTATGGGAGGGCCAGTGGCTATTCATTTCCCCGTTTTGAATAGCTTTTTGCAGCTTATCATGGTTGTATGGAGGCCATAGGCACTGATCCCCATGAATCCAAATGCTAGGTACTGCCTCGACTGTATCATCATCGTCGAAATGGACTACTGTCCAAGTCTTTGATTTATGATCCATTACTGTATAATAGGTACATATATTCAAGAGTTGTATTTTATGAGAAAATTTCATGAATCAAAAATCCAATTTTTTTGTCAAAAAATGTCAAATCACCAGTTACTTTATGCAATTACCCGATAATTTGCACTAGTGCAAATTATCACGTAATTCCAATTTGATTGGTTGAAGTTAACAATCAAAACATGTCATTTTATTGCTGGAATAACAGTTCTAACCTGGTTCTGACAGATGAATGAAGTTCTCAAGGATATTATATATGAAAATATGAAAAAAACTTGTGAAAAAAAAAACATTCTTAGCTTGACAACAAAAATCAGATACCAATGGAATGTAATAGTGGATATACCACATATTTATCATTGTATTTCAATTTGACACCTTTATGTTTTACATCTGAAATATTCCAGGATTGATGATTTCCAAGATTACTACATAAAAATATATTCACATCTGAAGATTCACAAGGAGAAGTATATAAATTTTCAAGTTTTAGAAATTTTTTGCCAATTATTTTTATGCTTTTATCAATTTCAGTAATATTTTCAATAACAACAATTGTCTCGTCCCTAAGAAAACAACAATTGTCAGATTCATTTATGCTTAGACAAAATTTGCCTAGCGAAACATGTTTAAACTGTCTTACTGAAATGCTTTGGCTTCAAATTTGAATTGATTGTTTAAAAATTGCTCACGCTCTTTCAATCTGTTGGTAATTTGTTGCAGTGGCTGGTTAGATTTCCGAAGCATTTTTTTTAAAAATATCATGTTGTTTTCAAAGGGAAAAGCACTAAAGTCTTCAAAACTGCCAAATTTGGAAACATCAGTGGAAATATGCAATAGATTGTGTACATTATGTGAGACATTTTCAATTCCATATAGGTGGATGAAAGTTCTAACAAAATATACCAAAAGTTGATTTGCATATTCAATTTCTTGACATCGAGATAATAGAATCATTGCAATATGCAAACATGTAAAATTGACATAAACTTCTTCTGAAACATTGCCTCTCAATACAAGTGGCCCAGTATAGAACAAAAACATCCAGAATTCTGTTGCTTTCCAGCGTCTCGCTTCATTAAGCGTTCTGGGTTTTCGAGTAAATTCTCGTGGCGTTTGTTTTTCAAGATTTTCATGCAAGGAAGAAATTTTTTGTAACTGGTGACTTGACCACTTGTATGGAGGTTTTCCAGAGATCCATAAATTAACAATTAACTTCTTGACAACACCAAGACAGACAAGGTGCATGTAGTCTAATGGAAAATCATCAATTAAATTTAAACCTTGTAATTTTTCTAGTACTGATGTACCTGTATGATGATTTTCTTGCTCCTTAATTCTAAAACTTTGATCTGTCCTTAATTGAAAGTTCAAAAATTCAGGAAAACAGACCCTACCAGATTGAAAAACGCCTTCGACATTACACTTTGAACAAGACATATACCCACTGTGGCCTCTAGTACATTTGATGAAAGATTTTGCAGGTACGTCACAAACAAACAAAAGCTTAATGGTGTATGTCTTGTTCAAATATATCAGCCCATTGGCTAAAATATCATTTGCTTCATCCACAAATTCGTTTAAAAAACTATTTGAATCAGATGGTTTTGCATTTCCTTGATAAATTCCTACAATTTCAACATAATCCTTATTATCCATAATATTAATCATAATAGGCCAAATTTGATTGCCAGAACTTTTCGAAATTGGCAGACCATCAATATTAACACAAAGTCTTATTGTATTATATTCAAAATGTTTGCTATTTTTTCTGTTAAATACATTCAATAGCTTCAAAAGGCTTTTTTGGAAACCAAAATGAATGTAATGGCCTGGTTCTACAACTGACAAAATCGAACCATCAGTTTCTCTTGGAGTTTTCAAAAGGGTTCGAGGATCTTTTGGCATTTCGATGCCCTGTTCTATCAACAAGCGCAGCAAATCTCCTAGGGCATTGTGAGCAATATTGAATTGCAATGCCCATTTTGCCAACTTATTTGAAAAAGACTCAGGTTCACATGTCGGTTCAGGCATCGGTTTGGATATGGGAGAAAAAATTACAAGCCCTTCAGTTTCACCTGAATCCGAGGCATAATCAGTACTCGAATCAGTATCAATGCCTGAATTAAAACTTTCGTCGTTTGTGTATGCGGGGTAAGGTTGTGGATGATCGGTTATTTCAGAAGAACCAGAAGGGGCCCTGCTGGCATCATAAGAAGCACAGGGTATGGTTCGACTTTCAAATTTTGAATAAAGCCTTTTGTGTCTTCGATAATACTTATCCGAGATTATTCTTTTGAAAGCAGAGGCACTCATGGTATTTTCTTACCTTTTTATAGTTCTGAACTTCTGATCACACAATTTCACACAGAAAAACTTAAAAAACACAGAAATTTTAGAAATTCTAAGCAAAATAAGCAAAAATTGCAAGTCACTGTCGAAAACGATGTCACGATGTCACTTCACTTCACGTTTGAGGTTATGTGTTATGTCTTGTGGCCGGTTTGCGGCGGGCAAATAAGGCGCACTGTCAAAGTCGATGGTTATAGGCGCTGCGAGGGCGTCTACCTCAGGTCGCGAGAGACAATCAGCGACAATGTTTGCTGCACCTTGGACGTGTCGGATGTCGGTGGAAAATTGGCCAATAAATTCGAGCTGCCGAATTTGTCGTGGGGACTGGCGGTCGTGACGCTGCTGGAAGGCGTATGTCAAAGGCTTATGGTCAGTGTAGATTGTGAACTGAGTGCCCTCGAGAAAATGGCGGAAATGGTGGATGCCACTGAATATGGCCAACAGCTCACGGTCGTAGGTACTGTAATTTCGCTGTGTTACGGATAGCTTTTGTGAGAAAAAGGCTATGGGTTGTAGGTGTTCGTCGACCAGTTGTTGCAGTACACCACCAATTGCGGTGTCGGAGGCGTCGACTGACATGCTTAACTGGGCCTGTGGTGCTGGGAAGACCAACTCTGCAGCGGTGGCCAAGAGTTCTTTAACTCTGGAGAAGGCAGCTGCTGCTGCTGGGGTCAAGCTGAGGTCTTGTTGCTTTTTTTTCTGATGGGCCAATAGCTCGGTTAGTGGCATGAGCTCGGTTGCAGCGCTTGGTAACCAGCGTCGGTAAAAATTGACCATTCCCATGAAGCGGCGTAGCTGTTTGTACGTTGTGGGTTGTGGAAAGTCTCGGATGGCACTGACTTTAGCCGGCAAAGGTCTGACACCAGTCGGAGAGACAATGACGCCCAGAAAATGGGCTTCACGGGTCCGGAATTTAGATTTCTCCAGGTTGATTTGAAGCCCGTTCTCTTTTAGGATCCGTAGGACTGATGCCAGGTGCTGTTCGTGTTCAGCTTCCGTCGTGGAGGCTACCAGGATGTCGTCGATGTAAATGTAAACAAAGGGGCACCCTCGGAAGAGGTGGTCGAGGTAGCGCTGCAGTGTCTGGGCGGCGTTTCGTAAGCCAAAGGGCATCTTTAGAAATTCGTACAAGCCAAACGGCGTGATCACAGCCGTTTTCTGTACATCTCTAGGGCGGACTGGGATCTGGTAAAAAGCACGTATGAGGTCAATGGTCGAAAAGATTTTCTTGCCATGTAGCTGGTTGGCGAAATCCTGAATATGTGGCACTGGGTAGCGATCAGGTTTGGTAATGGCGTTCAGTCGGCGGAAATCTCCGCAAGCACGCCACTGGCCGTTGGCTTTTTGTACCATGTGAAGTGGGCTGGCCCATGGAGATTTTGATGGCTGAACTATGTGTGCTTGCATCATGTCGTTGAACTCGGCTCGTGCGGCTTGTAGGCGGTCTGGCGGGAGCCTACGTGGTTTGGAGAATACCGGGGATCCTTGGGTATCAATGTAGTGCTGGACTTTTCCAGGATTATCAGACATACCAGTTGAGCGATCGTAGGGGTGGGCCGTCGATAGCCCCACTTCCGGCTCCTTCACTGTTCGGGACACACATGCAATGCTGCTCGGAGCGGTGGGACTAACAAGGCGCTTTCTGCGCATGTCTACGGTGATGCCATGTTGTGTGAGAAAGTCAGCGCCTAGGATGGCGGTGGTGACGTCTGCAACTACAAAGGTCCACGTGACCGGTTGGCCAAGACCGAGGTTCAACTCCAATTGCTTATGCCCATACGTTCTGATACGGGAACCAGTGGCGGAGTACAGGCTGATAGTGCTTGGTTGTGTAGCGGTGCAGATCTTACGTGGCAGCACACTTAGGTCAGCTCCAATGTCGATGAGGAACTGGAGTTGGAGCAGTTTATCTGTCACGAACAGGCGACGGTGTCTATGGGAGGCCACGGTTGTCGCCACTACTGCGCCCCCTGGTCGTTTTTTGAATAAGTGCATGGGGGTCTGCACTTCTTGGCTTGCGGGCCAAACCTTCGGTGGTAATAGCACTGCCCATCAGCGACTGCAGTGTTGGTTGTTCGGGCAGGTCGAGGTTCCTGCGATTTCTCGTCGACACTTAATTTCGCAGACAGAGCTCTTATCTGGTCGCCTAGTTCAGCTACAGTTTTCTCTAAGGTGGGCTTCTCCTCAATAGACATAACTGGAAGGCTGTTATTGCGTATGAACTTGTCAGCCTTCTTCGCCAGCTCTTCTAGGTCTCCATCCAGGACGGATATTACCCCTCGGACTTGGGGCGGTAGGCGGTCGAGCCACAGATTTTTCAGTACCTCTGTACTTACATTGGTGGTGGCTAGGGCTTGCATGCGATGGAGAAGCTGGGTCGGCTTGAAATCACCCAAGGTTATCTCCAGCAGTCGGCGGGTTCTTTCATCAGCACTAGTACCGTATCTTTCGAGAAGGCGGGTTTTTAGATCTTCATAAGAAGTACCTCCAGTTGGGTTTCGTATTATGTCGGCTACCTCTGATAGGACCTCGCTGTTTAAACTAGTCACCGTGTGGTCAAACTTACAGTTGTCTGTTGTTATCTTTGCTTGCCGAAACTGTGCTTCGAGTCGAAGGAACCATAGTTCTGGTTCGGCGCACCAAAATTCTGGCGCTTTGATCCCTACACGGGCGATTATGGTCTGATCGTCGGTTGGGTCCATGGCGTCGTCGTTGGCCGTGTTAGACGAGGGCCGTGTGGGTGTGAATTTTGGGGCACTGCACACGCGGTCAAGAGTCAAGAGTCAAGGTTCTTTGGATGGTAGCACGTCGCACTCACGCGTTTGTCGGGGTCACCACTGTGGCCGGTTTGCGGCGGGCAAATAAGGCGCACTGATCAACTTAATTAATCTACTGTTTATTTATGCCAAATACAAAAATAAAACATCGGTAAAAATGAAAAAATAGAAATTGTTCGGGCGTGTTGTTTTATTATTCGAGCGGGCGTCGGACTTGTGTCAGTCATCAGCTGGCCGGGACTCGGAGACAGTTGACGTTCCTACCGCTGGTGTACCGCGTTGCCGCTCCATTTGCATGGTTGCCAACGGATCTGGGGCGGACATCCGCCACAGTCTATCTAGAGGGATGCGTTCATTTGTGCACTAGACTGGGTGCGTTCACGTGCCCGCTATGAGAATTTGACAAGCAATACGCATGCGCACGTCTGGAACAAGACTTGTTTTTTTTAATTTATATTTATCTTAAAAAAATAATAAACAATATTATGAACGTGGAGAAAGCTTAAAAAAATTTAGCTCGTGATGGGATGTTAGAAAGTGCCAATATTCTATAAAACTGGTCCATAAAAAAACGTTTTTTGCTTGTTTAAACAAACAGTTTTACAACGTATTTAGAACATAATTGAGGAAAATGCTATCAAACTTGTCCATTGAAAACGTTTTCTGGATGGTTAAAGGAAATGTTTCTAGAACGTTCCTAAAAAACGTTCTTAAAACATGGTATTTAGGTCCGGGACGTTCGGACCTTATTTGTATCTAATTCGTACGTTTTCTAAACGTTCTGTGTTATTAGGGAATGTACATTCAATTATTTTGCAAGGAGTATGCAATGAGAAGAGAGAATTTATAGATGTGTTTACTGGTGTTCCTGGAAGAGTTCATGATGCTAGAGTTTTCAGGATGAGTCCAATATTCGAGATGCTATCTAACGGTGCCCTAGGTGAAAATGAACACATCATTGGGGATAATGCTTATCCTTTAATAAGTGCATTTTTATTGAAGCCATTTAGAGGCAATGGGCATCTAACCGGCCGACAAATTCGGTTCAATGCCCTTTTGAGCTCAGTTAGGTCATTAATCGAGCAGAGTTTTGGACTGCTCAAAGGAAAATTTCGGCGTTTAAAATACTTGGATATGTTCCGAATAGATATGATTCCAGCAGTTATTACAGCAACATGTGTTTTACACAATCTCATTCTTTTTCATGATAGTCCTGAGCTTGAAAATGCTAGAGATGAAGATGACCAAATTAACCAGAACCAGCCTGAAGAACTATTTGAGAATGAATTAGGAGATAATAATGGAGAAAGAAAAAGAAATATGATAGCTAATAATTTGTGATAAATATTTATATTATTAAAAATTATAATTTCCTAGTTGGGTTTTTTTGGTTTTACAAACTAGCAAAAATACAGGTTGAATCTTGGTTGAATAATGTATTTTTGCAAATTTAATTTTGGCTTCAATCATTTCGTTGCCTGTCACTACTCGCAGAAAGTTGTAGAAAATTATATATTTGCCACAAAATACAGGTAAAATCAAGTCGTGTTTGAACTTTTTTATGTGGCCTTACCCCAAGATATCACACACCCCACTAAACAAAAAAACATCCATGTTTCGTTAAATAAATGTTCTCTCGTTACAATGTTACGTTAAATAATTTGATTTATTTTCGTTCTAGTTGCATCACATAGTCGTTATAAGTCCCGCAACTCAACAAAATCGCTGTTACGTTAGAGAGATAACGTTTTTGTTACGTTAAAAAATCATCTCAAGAACGTAATCTGGCCTTTATGAAATCGAAACAATTTAACGTAACTATTTTGTTATTAAGTGACATTATTGAAACGTTTCGAATGTAGCACATTTTAACGCAGCTAACGTAGCATCTATGTTATCTAGAAGAAGCAAAAACAATTCTGCATTGTTAAATATAACATTTATGTCTGTGTTGTCAAGACTGAAATTAATATTGTTTTACATTTTAATGGCAGCTATTACATAAAACAAGTTTTACTGTCGGTATTTTTGATCGTTAATTCTTTTCATAAGAACTACTTGTTAACTGGCATCAAACATAACGACAATAAAACTTGTTTTAGTGAGTGACATAAAAGAATATGTTATAAAATTATAAGATTTTTAAAATGTGTTTATACAAAGGACTTGTAACACCTTAATTTTTTTTTTTTGTTGATTAATATAATAATTATAGAACTAGTTACTAAGTATCAGCCTTTTGTTTTTACCTGTGAACTGAACTATTATGATATAAAAATACTTATCTAAAAACAATAATAAAACTCACATTTTTTATCAAAAAATTTAATGAAGTTTTTTTGGAATCATAGCCGACCAGAATAAA